ATATAATATAATATAATGTATTTATGTATGTATTTACCTTAGTCGTGCTAATAGCTTCAGAATCAAAACACACATACGAGAGTATTACAATTCAGTACATTTATTTTTTCATTGGTCAAATATAAAAATCGTTTTGAGTTATCGGACTGAACAGCCTATGTTAAATTCAGTGAGGAAATAAAAACCCAAAAACGTTTTCTCAGCCGTGACTTTTTTTAAAACGGATTGAGTACTGTGCGCATTCTAAGACAATGGCTTGAGAGCAGTGGCCTTTATTCAAGAGAATGGTGAGAAGAACTATTTCCCATTTCATGGCTTGTGCTTTCTATAATAACATTTTCGAAATCACGTGCACTATCTACACTTTGCTTTAATCTGTTCAACAGCTTGGCGTGGAATGATGTCACAGCGTAGCAGGCCAAACCCTCCGATATCCATACCTTTTGACCGTGCTACTATTGTTATCTTATCAGGGTCCCCGAAACCAAATTGAGGGAAGCAAAAACTAGCTTCTATATTTTACTGAAAATAAAAAAATGTGTCTCTGAATGCAGAATTTATTTTTGATAAATATAATTATACTTACCTAAGCCAGAAAAAAACTATGAGTTCAGTTTCACCAATGTTTCACCACAGAGTATTGGTATGCATCCTGTACGGCTCTGCTTATCTGGGAGAGGGCTCGGGTTTGTTTCCAAGCGTTGCAGCAGCCAAGATCGCAGCAAGACGGATTTTCAAACTGACTGACGCTGTGCCAACCATAGATGCCTTCTCAACAGAAGGTGCACAACCTAAGGAGGTGATGGAGTTCTTGATTTCCTAGCTCGCAATGTTGGTTTTGGCGCTGATGTTGTTACTACTGTCCATTATTGCCTTATTCTTATTGTTTTTGAGCTACTGTCGTCTCTGTTTTTGTCGCTGTTTTTATTCTCCTCGTCACTACCATAGATACCAACAGCATCATTATGAGGTTAACTCTGCAGTTTTATCTCTAGTGTGCTTGTATTCGGTGGTTTTTTCGTCGCTTTTAACGATAATAAGTTATTTGTCTTTGTAAAGGTGATACCCCATCTATTTCTTTTTTTTCCATTACAAATAAACTGTAAGAATGATAGAATAATGATGAGTACAATTATTGTCGGAATGTTCGACGTTTGAAAACAGCTTTTGTCAATACTCCTAGAACACTTAAGAAGTGCATATTTTCAGAAGATAAGTAATCTTTTTACTGTCATGAAAATGACCAAGTGAAATAATTTTCGTGGAATTAGTTCTCAGAATGAATCGTAGAAATTTATGTTTTCGTCTCGGGAATTTTAATAAAGGAATAAGTAATTCTTCATTCCTTCCTTGGCATATTTATATCTTATTGAACACATGGAAAAGAATTAGTTAGTTAGCAAGTCTCTACCAAGGAACACATAATAGATCTATGTATGTTAGTATGTATTAGATATATGTATATTATAGCCTCAAGAACATCCCAACCGAAGTGAAATCCCAGTTCATCAACAGCATCATCATACCAACATTAACATACCAGTGCCAAGCATGGTCTCTAAACGAGACACAAGACAGAAAAATCAATGCATGCGAAACGAGGCGTCTCCGTCAAACCATCAACGTCACCAGAAGAGACCGCATGAGAAACGAAACCATACGTCTACAAACTGGAATGCCACTAGTAATAAAATTCATACAGCGTCAGAGAGTCAAGTGGTTTGGACATCTAACCAGAATGCCAAGAAACAACTAGTGGCAAGAGCTTACAGTATCCGAGAATCCATCTTCAAATCAAGAGGAAGACCAAGAAAGACCTGGCTGGATATGGTTAAAAAGGTCCTAGAACAAAATAACATATCTATCACAGACGCTACACACGTAGCACATGACCGAAACTTGCACCTCCCCTCGACATTCTAAGGATACTAGAGGAAGGAAAAAGTAAAAAGTAAAGTAAGCACATCTTTCATTTTGAAAAACAAGAAAGCTGCCTGTTTATCCTGGACAATAAAAGCACAGTTGTCTCATTGATATTATAATACTCTTCAATATCATATTCCTTGCCATATCGTTGCTCTGCAAAAAGAATTCAAATTAACTAAAACTTTCTTCCTCGTTCCACAGTTCGGCAGCAATATAGAGTTTAAAGGTGTCCACTTCTCCTATCCCACCCGGCCTAGCGTGCCAATCTTACAAGGACTAAACCTGACCGTGGAGCCCGGGCAGACAGTGGCCCTAGTTGGCGCCAGTGGGTGTGGTAAGAGCACTACCATCAGCCTCCTGGAGAGATTTTATGACCCAAAAGAGGGTAGACTGGTACGTTGAAAATGAAGCGTGAAAACCCATTTATTTTCTGCTTTATAATAATTATCCTTTCCCTCTACTCCAATCTCCTCATCCTTTCTCCGCCTGATTCTTTACCTTGCAAAAGGATTGCCAGGAAAATTGAACCCTACACATACATCACTAGAATCTGACATAGAGCTTTAGTACGGCCCATTGCCCCCACCCCCCCCACCCCCCCCCCAAAAAAAAAAAAAAAAATTAAAAAAAAATAAAAAATAAATAAATAAATAATTTTTTTAAAAATAAATTAATTAAAAAATGTAAATGAACAAAAAAATAAAAATAAATAGATAGCAAAAATAAATAAATAAATGATTTTAAAGATGGATGAGATGAAATTTTGAAAAAAAATGATCAGCAGAAAAGTAAAATAAGATAGAATAAAGTAAAACGAAATATAGTAAAATAAAATTAAATAAAAAGTTCAACTATGTTTATGACGTAGTAACGCTCAAGCTGCGGGAAGAAGATATAATAAATTTGATTCCACCTTGGGAAAACTTCTATTTTTATCTATGTCTTTCTGGTAGGATGTAGTTTCCCATTAGTTTAGGGTTGGCCTTATCGGGCAGGATAGATGTAGCCTTCCTCCTTAAGATTTAAATTGTGCCAATGTGGATGTTAAAAATTTAGGTTCCAAAAATGTTTCATTTCATTTTATTTTTCTTTGACCCAGCGGCCATCTGAGTTTGAGCACTTCGGCCCGAGGTTCAAAGAATCAGTCACCGTCTTTAGGCGACTTAATACTTCCTTTTTTTCTTGTTTCGTTTTTCCAGAAAACATAACAATTTGCACCATGTCAATACATTCTTACGTAACTAACATATGGGCACCAAAATCAGGACACGGGATAAAAAAGCCAGTATCTGTAAAGGCTGAAATAACTACTATGAACTGTAAAAAAACCCACAAAGGAAGAGTTGTTCTTACTTTTTTAGATAACAAAATATCTTTACCCGCTGGCCCATAAGCGTGTTATGAACATGCTCACAGTTCATATACCTGAGTCTGCATTAGTGCTTTTTGTCCTTGCTTTGCTTTTGTAGTACAGCGTTTACTTTTCTGGTTGTCATTGTCATTATACACTTTACAGATTCTCGGAGGTCATGATTCTAAATCCTTAAACATCCAGTGGCTTCGCAATCAGATCGGCATCGTGTTCCAGGAACCTACGCTTTTTGATCGGAGCATTGCAGAAAATATCGCCTACGGTGACAACACTCGCAAAGTGGGAATGGAAGAAATCATTCAAGCAGCAAAAAATGCCAACGTTCATTCCTTCATAGAGGCTCTCCCGCTGGTGAGTTGCTTTGTCATCACTTCAATACTGTATGTTAAGATCATAGACATTGTTCACCAGGGGAAGCAGCGTCGTACCTACCAGTCAGGACCAAAGTAGGATGAGTGGAACACGTCATCGTAACAGACAGGCGGAGATACATCTACTCAATAAAATAAATTCCCACTTAGAGATCTTCCACATACTCACAATTTTTTGTTTGTCACAGACACCGGTCCTCATCTAATATGTGTATGTGTGTGGGGGTGGCTCTCCAGTGACTGGACATGGGTGTTCTGCCCGAGGGAATGCAGAAATAGAAGGATTGACAGAGAGGGGGGGGGGGTGGATGAAGGAGAATGAGAGAGCGGGAGTATATATATATATATATATATATATATATATATATATATATATATATATATATATATATATATATATATATATATATATCAAGGAGCTTAGAACTAATGGAGCCTCCTCTCTCTCTTCGCGGCGCCACGAGCAGTTAGGACTGGACAGGACATGGACTTGGACTTGAGACTTGAAATTCTCGTGCCCATCAAGTAGTGTTTGAGACCAAGTATTTAGAACTGAGCAAGTCCAAGTCTTGCGTGGCCTAGCAAAATAGATCTATCCCTCAATCAAAAGATACAATTATTTTAACGCACAGTAGATCTACAAACTTTGAGTAAAGACTCAGTGAACCAATGTCTAAAGAAATGCTCAAAATTGGCATATTTCTTATCAATTTAGTGCCTTCAGTTTGATTGTTTGAATTCAAATACACCTACGACCCCCACTACTTGCTCGGACTTGCTCGTCCTAGGCGAATTGGTTGAGTCCGTTTCTTCGATAAGGGGTAGGCAGGCCTAGGCCCGGATAAGGCTTCAATGCCATCATTGCCATCCAAGGCTGAAGCAATTCCTGAGTTTATTAATACAACACAGAACAGAACAAAAAACAAACAAGCGAAGAAAAATAATATTTTTTTAAAAATCAAAAAAATCAACCGAATAAGTATCACAAAAATATTCCATACATCTCAACATTGATTCTAGGTGGTTGGTTGGAGAACAACAAAATAATGATAACGATAAAGGGAACTAATTGAATTTCGTTTTTTTTTTCATTCTAATTACTTCTTTGGTTTCATCATTCCACCAGCATGTTGTTCTGCCTTTGTTTCCACCTATTCTTTTGGTGCCACAACAGTTTTTTTAAAGTATTTCTGACAGGGATTTTTTAAATATTTGCCATTCGTCTTCTATGTCCTTGATCTGAGGTGACAGTTTGAAGAACTCTTTGGTAATGTCATCCTCGACTGCTTTCTTGATGTCTGGTTCTTCCAATTTTCTTAGGTTAGTCGTGGTTTTTCCCCTGTTTTTCTTTATTTGCTTTACGTTGTGGGTTGTGAGAGTAAGTATGACAGGTCTATGGTCCGTGTCGATGATGTAGTTTGGAACCGCTCTCGAATCTTTGGCTATATGTCTTTGTTTTCTGCGCATCAGGATGAAAATAATTTGTGAAGCATGGTTCAGGTCACTCCATTTGTACCAGGTCTTGATTTGGCTTTGCCTATGTTAGAAAAATGTGTTCGTAATCATCATGTCGTGCTCAGCGCATAGGTTTAGTATCATTTCTCCATTGCTGTTGCAGTCAGTATCTTTATCGCTGTGGGGTCCCAAGTACTCTTCCCCTGGGGTTCTTCTTCGTCCGACTCTGCCATTTAAATCTCCCAAGATAAACATATCTTCTTTGTTCTTGGTGGTGTTAATATGGTCACTCAGGTCTTGGAAATATGATTGTCTATCTTCCTCTGTATAGCTGTCGTTACAGGGAGCGTATGTTTGGATGTACCTAGTTGTTTTGCCACCCTCTATGAGTTTTATGCTCACTATTCTCTCTGAGATTTGGTTGATTGTATAGATTGTATCCATTTTGGCTGGATGTATGATGAAAGCTACACCATGTTTGGCTCTCTCATTTTCAGGTGTTCCGCTCCAGATCAGTAGGTAGCCTTTATGGGTCAGCTTGCTGTGGTTGCCTCTCTTCCTTTTGTCTGACAAGCCCAGATTTCTATTTTCTTTCTTTCCATGAAATCCACTATTTCTGGTTCTTTGTCTCCAAGTCCGCTGACATTCCATGTGCCTATTTTAATCGTTGTTCTAGCTCGCTGTCCGTTTACTTTTCAATCTCATTTTCCGTTTGAATCTGTCCGTGTTTTCTCCTTTGGTTATAAGGACGGATAATGGCAGGGAGAAAAAAAAATTCTGTGTATGATACGGACTGTTCAATTCTTTAAAAGTTTTATGTTATAATCTAGTTTAAAAATCAAAAAGATGTGTAAAATAAGAAGAAAACTTGTACGAGTAACATAAAATTATCAAACATGCCAAATTATAAAGATAATCTTTCAAGATGCTAAAATATTTAATTATAAGAAATGGATAAAAAAAATATACTTTTAAACTGAATTTAAGATATGATTGCATGATTCTAGGCGTGTGCCATAACTAACTTTATGTGTAAGGAATAGCAGACACAAAAGAGGGTCGATGCCAGCTTTATCAGATTGCTAAAAGTATGTCTTGGTCTATAAATAATAATATTATTGATTACAATCATTTTGTTTCCTGGTTTTCACCAAGTGGAGCGCGCAATGATTTCAAATATTTAAAAAAGAGATAACAGCACCTTTGGAGGTGTGATCGTATGCATGAGCGTGCATGACCTTTGAAGGTTTTTTTTTGTTCAGTAAAGTATGATATGGAGAGCAGCGTTTTTAGTCCCTTGTTACACTCTAGAGGGGGATAATTTATCTTAGTGATGACTCTTGTGTAGTAAAATTTGTTTTTTACTTTGTTTGGTTTATTTTTTAACAGCAGAATCTTAAGTGAACCGGAAATATTGATTGTGGGATCTTAGGTGAAGACTACAACAATAGAATTAAACCGAGTATAGTTCTATCTAACAAGACTCAAACTCTTATCCACCCCACCCTACCCTCTCTCCTCATCTGATATAGTTTGGTGTTTCTTTCATATAGATAATATTCACCTTTGTGTGTGCAAATTAGATGTTACTGTAGTCTAAATGTTGATATCTAGAGGCTCCATTAGAATATGAAATCAATACTCAACAACAATAAAGATGAATATTATCTTACTTGGATTTACTTGGATTTACTTGGATCCAGAGCTAGAATCATAGCAGGCGGCACATGTCCATAGCTGCTCATCTCTCCTTTCCAGCGTCCACCTCAGGGTCTTCCTGCTAATTGTCTCCATGAGGAGCTGGTTTGAGACACACCTGACCACTCCTCGGAGCAAACTTTTTTTCGCTGTGCCCCGCACACACTTTTCTTTTATTGTGCTGAGTGTGTGGGAGTCTGACTTCTCTTGGTTGTGAAGGCTCTCCTTGCATCTGGCGATCACCATTGGTGGGTGGAGCATGATTGGGTGCTGCTTTGCCGGCAAGTTCATCAGCACGCTCATTTCCGTGCACCCCGGCGTGACCAGGGCAGAACACCCATGTCCAGTCACTGGAGAGCCACCCAATATTATCGGTCCACTGCAGCATCATATCGGTTCTTACACTTAAATACAACACAGGTGCAAGGCATATTTACTAATTGACTTGCCTAATCTCAAGGACCTCGGAATAAAACCTTATTTCTTATCAAGATTTCAGTGCGTGAGTCGGGCATTCGGTAGCCCACAGTTCCGCCGCGAGAGAGGGCTTCTATCAGGCGTGCGGTGCCGCCCACAGAACATCCTCCATTACTTTTAATCTCCTTGATATATATATATGTGTATATATATATATATATATATATATATATTATATAACACAGAAAGAACGTAGAAAAGGCGAGAAGGAGGACCGAAGTGAGCGAGTAAGAACAGTGAAGGGGTGGGCGAGAGATGGGAGATCTAGAGAGGACCTGCACACCATTTGATCTCAGAAGTATTAGATTCTGAAGTGAAAAGAAAAAACAAGGAATTCGCCAACACACTATTTTAAAAAGTCAAATTTCCCACTGTGGAACGGGTGCGAAACATTTTGATTTTGTTTGGTACCTGAAACATAACTAAATTTTACTACCAAATTGTAACCCGTTGTTTCCATTTTTCAGACGCCCGTACTCTGCGCGGGTTGTCTCCTAAATGAGGTTCTATATTGAGGGGACAGTTTGGTGTAAACAAATTATTAATGTTTTCTCTAACTCTTCTCAGGGTTATGAGACAAACGTTGGAGGCCGAGGCACTCAGCTCAGTGGAGGTCAGAAACAGAGAGTGGCGATAGCAAGGGCGCTTGTTAGAAATCCCAAGATTCTTTTGTTGGACGAGGCCACGTCAGCCCTGGATACAGAAAGTGAAAAGGTAATTTTCGAGAAATGTTTGTAGTGTCTTTTATGCAAAGATCTATATAGATTTTCGCACCTCAAAAAGTGTAACTAACTGTGCATGAGTTTGAATGTCTCTACGCCTGTTTGTTAGTGTGTGATTGTTTCGGTATGTGCCTTTGTATGCTTATTCGTCATAATTAGCAAAATGAGTTGTTTCTGCATACTCTTTCGTTAATAGTAATTCCTCTCTTAACGTGGAAAAATACCAGTGTATAAGCCTATTATTACTAAAATTCCATTCATAATCCTGGTACAAAATATATCCTCAAAATAATAATTACAGTATATTCGATAGCATGAAAATTCAGGTACCGGTGTGCTCACCTATGCTTATGTACATGTGGGTGAGTAGCAGCTGTTGCACGGACGGAATGAGTGTCATAACAATATTTGTTATCGATTTTGTGGGTGCGTCGCAGTTCGTTTCAGACGCATGAAAACTACGTTCAGTTAACTTGTCATATAGGATACCCGTTTGTGGAGGTGGGTTGAAAGAGGTTCATATTCTTGCGGGGATCGGTTCTTTCCCTGCTCTCTAACTCTTGGCAAGGGGGAGGGTGTTTTGGCATTGCATCCCACTGTACATTATACTACAAGGTAGGAAAAATTCGCATTCAACCTGAAATCCTATCCCGTGATGTCCCTAATGCTATTTATTACCTTCTTCAGATCGTTCAAGAAGCTTTGGATAAAGCCCGACAAGGCCGCACATGCGTAACCATCGCTCACCGACTGTCCACGATCCAGAATGCTGACAAGATCATTGTCTTTGAGCAGGGTGTAGTGACTGAGGCAGGCACCCATGCTCAACTCATGGCCAACAAAGCGCAATATTACACACTTCAGTCAATGAATGCTGTGTAGTTCATTTCCGAGCTGAACAGAAAGTAATAGATGTTATGTAAAATATAGTCGACTCGCTGTACGGAATAAGGACACTTGACCAATTTCAAGGACATTACTGTTCTTGCAAGTTTAATATTGTATTTCTACCCCCCCCCCCCCCAAAAAAAAAATTATTTTAAAAAATGCAATATGCCAACCATGAGTTTCTAGGAGTGATTGTTTGGCATTTTCTGAGTAGAATACACAATGTACAGATAGAAGACGCAGAACGCTATTATTCCAACAGATGAACTGAACGTATGCAATAACGTGTTAGTTCTCCCAGGGGTGAAACAATACACCCATTGGTTGCTCTACTATCTCGTCTTTTCCCCAAAAGACAAGCAACTGTATTTGGAGTAATATGCCCAACGATCGGGAAAAACTGCTGTAGGTAAATTAGAACTATATTAGAAAACTGAATCTCGCTATCATTTTATCCAACAGACAGTGAATTCTCACTATGGTGAATTAGGTTTGAAAGTGGAAATGGAGCTTTTAAATGTTCATAATGTGACAAACTCTTGTCAACCAGAATTGGTCTCATTGGCTATAACAGAAGCCACAAGTCATTTTAATGCTTATTTCTTCTACCTCGCTGAAAAAAATTATTATGATCATTATTACAATCATTCTTCTTTTTCTTTCTTTTTACAATAATTATTCTCATGTTCTTAGATATAACAGTAGCGGCTCGTGGTTTATAGAACTGACCGGCCGTTATTCACGTCGACTATTCCTTTCCTTCACAACACACACACACACACACACACACACACACACACACACACACACACACACATACACACACACACACACACACACACACACACACACCACTGTAAACATTGTAATATACTGTGAAAGAGCTAAAATATGCGGTAGTGTCAAGAAACAATAATAATATTATGAATAACGTATGATGGAAGTTACTGAGATTAATAGAAACTGACTTGATCGGCACAGAAAAAACCACTACTAGGCCAGAAAACAAACTGAAAGTGAGAGGCAATAAACTGCTGGACCTGGCCTTCAGTACTTTACTCGTACTTTCTACATCCCCTCACAAAATATAGACGTGCACAGGACCCGTTAAATATATGTAATAAGAACTGTCCCGTATGATAACAAAAAGTTAATTGATACTGTATCGGTGACGCTGTCCCAAGCAGATCAAGTCTACAATCAGATAGTATACAAAGCTGGACAAAGTTAGCACAGAACAGTTTCCGATCATTATATCATCATTTTTTTTCTTCACCGCACTTCTTACTTCTCAGAACAGAACACTGTGTTGTAACAAAGTGGGGAAGTGTGTCAAATACTAATTATAGAACTTAGTGTCTAGCTGGGGTGACGGTGGAAAAAGGGAGGGAAGGGAGGGGGTAGGCCTGGCCCAGACTCTGACAGCCGAGTGCCTATCGCTCCTCGTTAAAATTCTCCTTATATATCTTCACTAGACAAATCCGCATTCCGCCGGCCAGACTCCTATGGGCCAGGTAAGTTATTAGAGGGGAGAAAACGATGAGTAAATGTCAAACAGGAACTATAGGTGGTTAGAAAGTCAATAAACAAAAAAGATTAGTGCCATGCTAACAATAAATGTTCTGATAGTAATTAGAGAAAGGCTGAATGATAAATACATGTTTTGCTGATAAAATAATACATGTGTCTGTACTGCTCAAGACAGTCTCAATCTTAATTTTGTAAGCTACAAAGAGGCCAATTTGGCAATTTAAGGGATGCCCTCTATTCCTTCTCAGGGCTGTCGATGGATTTGTCCATGGGACTGACGTCATCGCTAGGCCAAAGCTCGCCGTGTGTTTGGCCTCGTACGTAGTAGCCTACGAAGTTCCGCGAAGTGACGGCTTGATGGGAGGGGAGACGGTATAAAATTAGAAGCCGGCGCGATAACAAACGTGAAGGAATGAGGCTCTGTCGCGACAAATAAACAGCAGTGAATCCCACTTCTCTATTTGAGCGCCTTCAAATCGGCAAGGTGCTTTTTGAATGTTGATACATGTTTGTTTGGATTTACTTAAAACTGAATGAAAATCATCATCAGCAATAAATCTCCTGTCAACAGTCCAGCTGAAAAAAATCTGACCGGCACCGCCGGTCTTGCCCAGTTAACAAACCACCCCTGGATAATAAGTACAAACACCTAGACTAGGGCTGTACCCCGGTAGCAAACCCGCTCGTGCTCGCAAGCCCCTAGTTCAAGTCACAAGCCTCAAATCACTAGGTCAAATCATCAAATCAAATCAGCAGCATGATAAGTTGGGTCTCGCGCAAACTGTAACCTCCTTGGTCTAGTCTAAACTTCAAGTCCACAGCAACTAGCAATCCGTGAAGCCACTCGTGTCAGACGCCCTTATCATCCCCAGCCTGCTTGCAATCCGCGAAGCCACTTACATCAGAAAAAGAGAGAGGGGGAGAGTGAGAGGTCCCGCCCACAGTGTCACTGCGCGGCGTAGCTCTGTAATCTGCTCGATTAATCGAAGGCTTTGCAAAGCAGCGGACAGCCGCAAGTCTCAAATCCAGTCCTCACCCACAAGTCCCACGATTCACACAGTACTGATTTGCGCTAGGCCTAGTGAATTGTCCCAGGACAAGCTCGAAACATGACCTGCTGACTCGTGGCGCAGGACCGCTCGATGGCGGCAAGACCGCTCGATGTGTTCAAACAGCAGTACCGCTTGCTGTGTGAACTTTGAACCGTGGAGGAAGGGAGAGGCTAGGCTTCTTTTGGTGAAAAGAGAGACGTTATTTTTAACTTCCCGCCGTTGATCAGTTAAGCGAGTGGATAAGTGAGAGGTAGCGTGGTATTGTAGTAACAGAGACCTAGGTTTCTGGTAGTAATAAGAATAAGTAGACTTAGATTACCCTAGAATGGAAAACTCCAGGGGGCGTTGTGATTGGCTTTTGTATCATATGGATGTAACCTATTTTGTAGATGTGTTACACTCACACTGTCATAATATAGAACATTTAGGAGACCGGCTAAGCCTACTTCAACCCAATGTCAGGACCAACCTGGGCTGTGGGAACAACGCCTCAGCAGAAAGACGGAGGTTCTCAGCAAAAATTTCTCCCCATACGGGAATCGAACCGAGGTCTTTCGTGTGCGACGATGAAGTGCTTGGCTCGTGCACATTAAAAATAAACAGGCCTTAACATCGTAAGAATTGCCGATCCAATATTAATTTTTAAGTGCATTGAATAGAGCTTTTTGTTTTTTACAACCGAACTATGTAAAAAAACAAACGATCTTGCACTTTTGGTGCAAGCCTCTCAACTTAAATAACCAGAGAATCTTTTGAAAAATGTACTGAGCCCACAGCATCGAAGGTTCGCGGCGTCACGAACAGTACAGCAGGACTGTCCGCGATTCACAACTCACCGGAAGTTCCCCCCGGTAGCAAGCGGGAGGCCAAGCAAATCACAAGCCTGCTCGCAATCCTCTAGCGCGAGCCGTCCGCTGCTTTGCAAGCCTTCGATTAACCGAGAAGAATCCACCCCTAACCTAGACACGCCAAGAAAATGCTACAGGATACATTTTGCTGATTTTTCATCCGCGTTCAACACAATCCAACCCCACATAATAGTTTCAAAATAATTTATTTGAACGTAAACAAGAACATTATGGCTTGGATTCTTGAGTTCTTAACCAATCGACCTCAATATGTAAAATTAAATGGTGTGAAATCCGACCTAATATTCACAAACACCAGTGCGCCCCAAGGTTGTGTAATCTCCCCTGTCTTGTTTACGTGTTACTTTTGGATAACAAAAACATCAAACTAATAAAAATTTGCGCATGATTCCATTCTACAAGTACAAGGCCTCATAACAACAAATGAGAATGAATACAGGGACGCTATAAATGTATTTACAAATTAGTGTGATAATCACTTCTTTTAACTAAATGTAAAAATGACAAAGGAATTAAAGTGGGTGTTTGGCGGGTGCTCTGGTGTGGTTTGCTCCTTCTTTCCTATCAAACATCTATCGTCCTTATCTCCCGTCTTCTTTTTTGTTTGTTACTCTCTTGTAACACCTCTAATCTTCTGGCGCTCATATGACCCAATGCAGTTGCGAGCGCCATAAAACCTCTACTAAAACAGAAAACCAAAGGAATTAAAAATAGACTTATGAGTAAAAAAAAAAAAAGACCAGTTGCAACCACTATTTATTAAGATGAGAAGGAGGATGTGGAATATCTTGGAATATCTTGGAATAACAATTGATAACAAGTTAGACTGGCATCCCCAAGCTGCTCTTGTGCATAAAAAATACATCAAAGAATGTTCCTTTAAAGGAAATTAAGAAGTTTTTGGGTCGATAATAAGAGTATGTCCCTTGTATACCATTCTATGATTGAAAGTGGGCTAATATTTTGTATTTGCTGCTAGGCTTGGAATTGTAGGGTTAAGGATAAAGAAAAATTCCACATAACCATTAAGAAAGCCAGCAAGATCTCTGGATGTGATTTTACTAGAATTTATGAAATGTATAATACCACAAGTATAAAAAGAAGAAAGAAAAGCATTATAAACGACCCATCACACCCCCTTTCCACTCAAATTGTTAGATCACGCAGCGGAAGATAATATGTACCTCTAAAAACTAAGAAAGAAAGATATAAGAGAAAATTTTTACCATCTAGCTTAAGACTATTATCAGAATAAGCATCAATGTGTATGACTCTTTCGAGTATGTTTCTAATCAAATTCATGCATGTGGTTGAATGGCGCATCTGATGTGATATGTACATTTTGTCAGCTTTACTTCTTATATATTAACTTTCAATTAGAGTAGTATATAATTTGAATTTTTATCTATACCTGCACTTGTTTTTACGTCCTGTACAGCCAACAAAAATTTCCCTGTGGGATAATAAAGTATTATCTTATCTTATATTGTGCTTATTGTCATCATTATTATTATCATTATCATTATAATCATTATTATTATTATCATTAATGAGGTTTGGACTGTAGTCTTGAAAGAGAAAGTAGTATATCAGTTAGCAAACTGTCATTACACTTCGGAAAAAGACGTCCTTTTTTTCTCTTCTGGATTATTGATAATGTTGAAACTTGTTAGACCTGCAGAACAAAGTTGTACATTTACATATGAATGTATTTGATCTGTCTGCCGTCGGGTCTGATTTCCGTAAGCGTATAAAGTGCGTACATGTATAATGTCTGGAATATCAAAATCGAATACAATAATTTGGTCAAGAAGAGTGGTGTACCGACACAAAGCTTTTGTAAGTGCGATACATAAACATAATTCAACAAGGCCAATCTGCACGACCGGTTCAGGGCTACGAGTCCGACTTTTAACAAATGTGCTTATGATATACTCACCCTCAAACCTCGACCTCCACGTGATCAAGTTCCTGTACTTTATTAGTTCCCAAAGGGTATGTTGCTATAGACACTGGATTCACGGAAAAAGGGGGGAAAAGTGCACAGTTGAACCTCGAACCTATCTGGCATCCTTTTCTCAAAAGGAATGCTTGAAGTGCTTGTCACGATCAATATGCAACATCACTGGCCCAAGCTGAATGTTTCGTATGGTTATTGTTTATTTATTTATTTGTTTATTTGTTTTTCGTTTGTTTTACTCTCACCTTAATGCGACTGGGACTTTGAATTACCCTTCTTGATTTTGGCAGATAGAATCACACTATGCCATTTTGGCACTACGCAAAAACTCTGGTACGAGAGGTT